GTTTAGTCTGGAGAAGAGGAGGCTGAGGGGAGACCTCATGGCCCTCTACAGCTCCCTGAAAGGAGGTTGCAGAGAGCTGGGGATGAGTCTCTTTAACCAAATAATAAGCCAGGACAATAGGGAATGTCCTCAAGCTGCACTAGGGCAGGGTCAGACTGGCTCTTCTGAAGCATTTCTTTCCAGAAGGGGTTGTTGGGCGTTGGAATGGGCTGCCCAGGGAGGTGGTGGAGTCCCCATCCCTGGAGGTGTTTTAACAGTAGGGTTGACATAGCGCTGAGGGATATGGTGGAATTGGGAACTGTCAGTGTTAGGTGAACGGTGGGACTAGATGATCTTCATGGTCCTTTCCCACCTAGATGATTCTGTGATTCAGAAAAGGCAGGAAGGAGGGCCTAGGGAGTGACAAGCTGCTTGATCCATAGGAACATGATGGAGCAACTAATCCTGGAAACCATTCCCAGACATGTGAAGGACAGGAAGGGGATTGAGAGTAGTCAGCATGAATTCACAAAGGCAGGAGGGAGTCATGCTTGACCAACCTGATAACCTTCTATGATTAAATGATTGGCTTGGTAGATGAGGGGACAGCAGTCGATATTTTCTACCTGGTTTTCAACACCTTTGACACTCTCTCCCCTAAAATCCTTATGGAGAAGCTGGTGGAACATGGGCTGGATGAGGAGACAGTGAGTTGAATTGAAACTGGGTGACTGGATGGGTCCTGAGCAGGGGATCAGAGGCCCGTAGTCTAGTTGGCAGCCAGTAACTAGCAGCATACCCCAGGATTCAGTACTGGCTCCAGTCCTGTTTAACATCTTCATTAATGATCTCAGTGTTGTGGCAGAGTGCATCCCCAGCAAGTTCACAGATGGCACAAATATGGGAGGAGTGGCTGATACACCAGAGGGTCATGCTGCCATCCAGAGGGACCTCAAGACACTGGAGAACAGGCTGTGACAGGACCCTCCTGAACTTAAACAACAAGAAGTTTAGAGTCCTCCACCGAATGAGTAACAACCTCAGGCACCGAGCTGGGTGTCACCCAGCTGGAAAGAAGCTTTGCTGAAGAGGGCCTAAGGGTCCTGGTAGACACCAAGTTGAACAAGTGCCAGCGGTGTGTCCTTGCGGCAAAGAAGGTTAATGGTATGCTTGTTGGGAGGAATGTTGCCAGCAGTTCAAGGGAGGTGAGCCATTCCCTTTCCTCAGTGCTGTGTCCAGTCCTGGTCTCAGTACAAGAGAGAGTTGGCGCTGTTGGAGCAAATCCAGCAGTGTCACAAGGATGATTAAAGTACTGGAGCACCTCTCCTGTGAGGAAAGGTTGAGAGCTCAGACTGAGGGTAGCTTCACTCAGTGGGGATCCTATCAATGTGTACAAATACCTGAAGGGAGGCTGCAAAATGGACAGAGCCCTCTCTTTTCAGTGATGTCCAGTGACAGGATAAGAGGCAGTTGGTGCAAACCAAAACACAGGAGGTTCCCTCTGAACATAAGGAAATGCCTTTTTTTTTTTTTTTTTTTTACTGTGAGGGTAACCCAAGTGCTAGTACAGTTTGACAGTTTGGCCAGAGAGGTTGTTGTGTGTCCCTCCTTGGAGGTGTTCAAAAGCTTTCTGGACGTGGTCCTGGCAGCTGGCTCTAGGTGGCCCTGCTTGAGCAAGCGGTTGGACCAGATGACCTCCTGAAGTTCAGTCCTCAAACATTCTGTGATTCTGTGGTAGACAGGTTGCGCTCTTGTGTAAGTAGAAAATGAAATTCTTCACTAATGTTGTTGAACCACCCATTCTCTTAACACTGGGGTCATGTTCTGCTTGCAGAAGCAAGGCCAGCACATTGTGATTGTAATTTGTCCTGAACATACTAGGGCTCACAGACCACAAATTATGATGTGTTTTTCACTTTGCTTTTTCAATTTATTATATACTGCTTTATTCAAAGGAAGGAGAAGGTGAAATATATCCATGGCAAAAGAATGAAGAGGGAAAGGGGAAAAAAATTGGCTTTGACAAATCAGATGTGGATTTGTGGTCTCACTGCCAAAGCTGCTGGCATCTCTCAGCCATTTCAATTTGCTATCTTCTTTTGTTCTGAATTCTCCCCTTCTCATGTTCTGCTGAAACTACTAGCAGTGTTCTTGCTTTTTTGTTGTCTTCTATCAGGCTGACCAACTCGTGACATAAACACACAGGCCTGAAGCAACAAAACCTCAGCATGCTTAACTGCTATATGCTTGATCCTTCCCTGTAGTGTGACTACGTGTGTGTTTTGTGACCAAAGTGCATCTGTCCCTTGTTAGATATGAAGAGTATACCTAATTGTATCAGAACACATGGAATCTGCCTTGAATATGTGTTTATACTGATGTGTCTTTAAGAGAACTGATGATAACCTGTTTGGTGTTTACCATGAGTAGCTTGTGGGTATGTATATACATGTTGACCATGGCAGAACTGGAATTTGACTTTGAAGCATGTCACTGTCTCACGGAAATTTGTTTGTGCCTCCTTGATCTCAACAGTAATGAAAGGGTTTGAAATTCTTTTTGAAAGTTACTTTAGGAAATTCATGTTGTCAATGTTCTTTTTTCTATTACCAGAATCCCATAGTTAACTTTGAACAGCCACTGCATCTGGAGAATTGGTTCCCTCGTCAGGTGATCAGAACCAAAAGAGAAGAAATTCGAGACCTGATCTTGCAACTGCACTTTCAACAGCATAGTGGCAGCAGCACCTAATAGATACAATAAACAAGACCTGGCAAAGAGCACTGCTGTATGAAGTAACTGGAACTCTACCTAGCAGCATTTGGGCTCTTTCTGCCTTGCGAGGAAGAAAATAAAACACCAAAAACCAACCAACAAAAAACCCACAAGAAGTATTTTGTTTGTTCAGTTTGTATTTATTCAAAGAATTTTTTGGTTTTTGTTTGGGTTGTGTAGTCATAGAATGGAGTTGTGGTGAGGAGAGGAGAAGGTTGTAGATGAAATGTAAATATGTAAGTTAAAGTTAATACATATAGATTGCTACTTGGAATATGAAAGCTGCATACAGGTATGTGCCACAACGATATAAAAATATTTTCATCTTTTGGAGCCTGTTCTTTACAATTCTACATAAACACAGATGATCATTTAGGAGTCATGCCTGAAACGGGATTTTGACCCTATACTGTGTTTCTTGATTTTGCAGCTCATACAGGTAGAATGAATACTATGTATTGTTTTAATTTAAGGTTCTAATATTGACTCTCTTTAGAGATGTATTTTTTGTTTTGTTTCTGATTATATACAGAAGTAGTCTGCATGTGTCAGAAAATTCTGACAAGTTTTGAGGCTACTGAGTTTTGATTTCTTTAACTTTTTTTCCCTCCCTAGCACTTTCATCATAAAAATTTATTTCCATGAGTGGAAGACAGTTCCTTGAGAGTGACCGTTGAAATCCTTTAAAGTCAAGAGTGGATATTTTAAAAGTATTTTCTGTGATTTTTTTTGTCTTGCTGTCAAAGTACATGCCAGTACAATACATGTAGACAGTAGATTTTCAATCCTATTTGCCTTATTTTTAGGAGTTACTCCTCTGAATCTTATGGTATCACTTGCATTAGAAAAGCAAGCAGGTTGTGTCTCAACAACCTCAAAAGTTTGAGGTGTTTTACTGAAAATTAAGGCCATTTTAATTCAAAAAGGACATTATCTTATATATAATGTGTTTAAGATATGTAGTTTGCATATAAGACAAACAGGAATTATACTTTGCTTAGGAGAATTGAGTAAAGAAGCCCGAATTTGAGTGTATAAACTCAGACTTGATTTGATAAACAAGCACAAGTCTATTGTCTTAGTATGTATTTATGTAGTTTTTCCTCAGTGATCACATAAAACTTTAATAACATTTTGACATGTGCACACTTTTTTTCTGTAGTTACTGCACAATAGAAGGTTACTATTTTAAGAGGATGCTTTCTCCTGGTCCCCACTGTAAGTAAACTTAAGTGTCATCCCACACTTCAGAAGGGACCATGTGTCAGATAACCACCAAAGCCACCTGTGTCATAAATGTATCTACAAAAGCAGAGCTTTTAAAGCTGAAAGTAGGCTAGAGAGTTTAAATAAAAACTTAAGGCATCCAAAAGGTGCAAACATTTTTATGTCATTGTAGAATTCTCAGGGCCCCTTCCCTCAAGGACAACTCCGAAACCTAGCATTTGGGAAGTCCAGTTATTACTTCAGGTTCTGTACAGTCATTAAAAAAAAAAAAAAAATAAAAATCAACCCACCATTGTTTCTCAAACCAGAAAGCATTCTTTCTGGAGAAGGGAGGCAATTTTAAAACAAAATAATTCGCTGAGCACAGTTACCTTCTGTGTAGCTGTGAGCAGCCTAGTACAATTACTGTGTTTTTTTTCTCTTTTGTTGCTACTTTAATTCTGTAGTTTGTCATTACCCCCTCACCATCTGTCCCCCTCATCCCAGAGATTCTGTGGCTTCCTTCACCTAAATCACATCATCAGCATTACTTACAGGGATAATCTCTGTATTTGTTGTAAGACAGATAAAAGATAAAAATGTGGAAATATATGCCCTTTCTCTGCCTTTTTAACGGAGGAATATTTTCAGTGTTCCCTTATGAAAAATAGCTTCATTTTTTTCTTATGGTAAAGTTACTTTTTATCATAATTTGTTCTTTTTTTTTGATTGGTTTATAGATATTTAAAAGCAAAAGTTATGTATAAACTTTTCTAAAAGGTTTTATAAGGTTAAAGGATTGCCTTTGTAGAATTGTTAGACGTGTGCAATGAGAATGCCAATACGTTTGATATTAAAATTATCTCCAGAAGTTGCTGAATGTTATTGTTGCCATTCTTTTCCCAGAAGTAGCCACAAGTAGCCAGTGAGCTAAATGTGAGATAGGCCACCTTACTGCTTTTAAGGTGTATATACACAGTATATGTCTCTTAACCCAAATTTGTATCAAAGTGATTATTTGTTCTCCATTCCTTGTAAACTCTGCATGCAGTTAATTCACAGATTCTTGTGGCAAGAAAGGCTGCTTTTTGATTCAAGAGCCTTACAGTTATTATTTTCTGTAGTTAGGCTAACAGTCTTAATTAGTCTGGGAAATGCCTTGGACCACTAGCCACAACCCATGCCATTCCATCCATTTGCATTTAGCAGATATGTGGTGAATGCTAGGAAGCGTCTGTGGAAAAAGTGATGCACCAGGTACCTTCATGTTTCCTTTTTAGTTGCTAGAACTACCCCAAGATAATTTTTAACATCCATAAGGCACCAGACTGACTCAGGGACCTTTTTTGCACGTCTCCTGCATCTCCATTTCCTGTATTAATCCTTGTTCAGTTGAAATGGTGGAGTGATACTTCAAAGCAAACCAATCTTTGTGAGGCTCTTTACCCTACACTGTGTAATTTTGGTTTCAAGGCAATGAGTTGTACTAAAATTGTTAAATGTAGCTATCCATTTCTTTAAAAGAAACTGCTACATTCTGACTGTGTGGGACCAGAAACTGGCTTCCATAATGAAATCTGAGTCATTGAGATCCATTTCAGGTACTGTTGGGAAGCATAGTAGAAGAGAACTAACGTAGGAAGTAAATCTTCAAAGATAAATATAAAAACCCCCTAGTTTTCATCAGGAGCTGGAGAAGTGAATCATGAAACTCCAAGTGTACTTTTTAAAAAGTATCTGTGGACTGTGTTTATCCTCTGAAATTGCAGGCATATTCATTGCAGTCCATCTGTCCTTTTGTGGGAAAATTTGACTGTGAAATGAGATTGCAGTACTCAGTAAGTACTACAGTTTACAAAATAATAAAGACTTAAAAGCCACAATAGTAACACTTTTAGCTTGATGATGGCAGGGAAGCAGAATATTGCTTCTGGCAACCCTGACCCCCAAAAAGCTCTGGTTTCAGATGGAAAAACAGGAATTGTAGAATGAGACTTGAATGGTCTCAGGACTGAAAATGTTTCCATTAATGGTCGAATAAAACCATGATCAATAATAATAATTCTGTCCAACCAAAGTGAAGTTGGAACACTGTTGGAAACACTGTTCAAAGACGAAGCATGTGCACCGGGATCATCTTTGACTGTTGAACAAGGTAAGAGATAGTTCTCTGATCAACAGTTCAGAAAAGGAGGAATGCTGAGAACAGGTTTGTTACATGGACAGAGTCAATAATGAAGTGTTAGATGAATTGAGTTGACCTCACTTCCTGATTTTTTTTCTCCAAATACTTTACAATACTGCATGATGGAAGAGATGGCAGTACAACAGGCTATGGTGGGCTGAATTTACTCAGCGAGAAGGCTGAACAGTCTCAGACCTTGCTTGTTTTTGGCAGAAGGTTCACCAGAGAACTCTCCAGGAGCACAAGGAAGAAGTGGTAACGGTGAAATGGTTGGGAACAGCAGCCACAGAAATTGAACATGTGAAAAGGTTTTGTCTAACCTAATTGCCTCAGTTAAACTGATAGGGAATTTTGTTGGCAAATTCTGTCAAATGTCATAGTCAATTGCTGTAGTCCAGTTGCAGGACACAATTTCTAACGGTGGTGTTAAGCTGTGTGAGCTTGGAGACAGGGGGTGCCGTGCCATCATGTGGTTCCTCAGGTGTTTTCATTAAAGTATACCTTTATTTTGCATTTTTCTTAGTTACAGATGAATGGATTTAGCTTTTTGAACAAATTACATTTGAAAAACAATTATATTATTTAGAACAGTATGTGTGCTCTAGCAGAATTTCAGCAACCATTACCCTTGTAGAGAACCATAATTCAGTTTATCACATTTGCTATATGAAAGTGCACGTCCTTTCTTTTCAGAAAGACAAATCAGAAGAAAATTGTCTGTCTTTTTTTTTTTTTTTTTTTTTTTTTTTTTTTTTTTTTGGAGGTACTGATGTGTGACATAACTTGGTGCGTTATGTCACTTTTTTCCCCAGCAAGAATATATTTTTCCTGAATACAACAAATACAATTTTGCTGCTGGAAATGAAAAATTATGCCTCTTCTGATGCAAAGTATTGCTGTTAAGGCTTTTAATCAAATCAAGAGAGGAGTTAACTTTCCAAAGTTGCTTTGTAAATCGACTGCAAGAGTTGTTTTGCTTGTTTTAGGAAACTTTAAATAACGATTGTGCTTTTAGTTATGCCTTTTGTTATTGTGAAGTAGGATATTTTCAGCTGTTGCAAGTCTAAATTGTAGTGCTGAAATCAGTGTTGAATTTAAAATTGATAGCTTGAACTAATATTAATATAACTGAATTTAAATGTTTAAAATACTTTATCACACAGAATCTGACATAGCTATACCATAGAAAACAAATTTTGACAGAGATATAAAGGTGGTTTTTATGCTATTCAGTTTCTGAGTGCCCCTGAGTAGTTTGCTGATGAAAAAAACAGCAACGCAGTAAAATGAAGATACTCCAGGAAAACTTTTAACTGGGTTTCATACCCTTACTGAAGCACATGTATTCTGAGAATTTTCTCTAAAATGATTAGTTGTCATGCATTCTTGAGGTAAGTTAGCCATTGCCTTTATAAGCATGTATAGTATTTCTAATCTTGAGTCAGCTGCATTTTTTCAGGGTAATGCATCAAAAATGTTCACAACCTAGAAAGTACCAGTCTCTGCAGAGGATCTAAAAAAAAAGGCTGTGCTGTTTTGAATCCGGGATCACAATCCAGCCTCAAAAGTTGCTCTGTCTACCTAGAGATGCTGAGCAGAACTTTTGAAACATTTTATGGGCACCAGTGTAATGTTGTTCCTGTGCCTCGTATCATCAGGACTGTTCACTTTACAGCTCCACTGTGGTGTACCGCACTTGGTGCTGCTGCCAGTATTGTAGTTAGCTTGGCAGAGCCAGCCTAGGTAAACAGTGCTGATTTGATAGATCCAAAATGTCTGATTCTAAGCAAACTGGGAGAGTTACAGCAGCTCAGTGGTTTAACTTAAAGTGTAATTGAGTATTTTTGTGGGGAAAAAAACAAGGAAAATATGTTGTTGCTCTGAAAAATAACAACTAGAGTGTATTAGATGTCAGAAGACAGAGCCTAAAAACAAAGGTGGTTTTGATTCCTGTGAGTGTCCTCTCTGTAATATCAGGAATTACCAGTGTTACTGAATTGCTGGGAGTTCAGCAGAGCAGCTAGAAGAGAGGTGTCAGCACTGTATATTAAAGGAGCTCTGTGCAAACACTCTGCAGACCATCATCTGAGAAGCCTTGGGAATCCAGCTTTGAAATACTCACTCACGCAAAACCACTACCAAAAATAGTCACTTCAGACAAACCAGCAGTTTGCTCAGATTGATCTCGACGCAGTAACCAGCAATTCCTGAGTAACACCATCCAGGAGTGGGGATTTTTAGTGGTCTGGATGCAGTCTGCCATGCAGGACAGCTTCCATACATGTTTCCACAATGAGCTGACTCTGGACAGGAGAGGAGCCGAGAGTACTCCGGCTTTCCCCTGAATTTTGTCCTTTCTGCAGTTCTTCTTAGCTGGTCATCTCTTCAGGTATCTGTACTAATTTGTTCCTACTGCTCACATTAGATAATACGTGAAAAGATGATGGAAGAATCTTGACTTGCCCTGGCTTTACCTTTGGGGGAAGCACTGCTTCTGGGATGTGAGGGACAGTGGTGTAACAGCACGAGAAATTTTCCTTTAGCACAAACTCATGCAGAAGGGCTGCATTGGGTCTGTCACCAGAAGAAGCAGTCCTACAGAAAGGTTGCTTTGGTGTTACCTACATATGCATTGGTGTTTTAAGTGAGGCAGTGCATTTTTATGTATGTGTATTTGTACAAGCAGAAGATAAAACACACTGAGACCTTCCACTGGAGACTAGTGTGCTCTCTGTGATGTTTTATGGTCAGCATGATTTTAAAAAAGGGCAGAAATTGAAAGGCCAGTGAAAAAAAAACATGGTTAATTAAATGTGAAAGCTGCCGTCCTTGTTTGGACTCTGTTAATGGTATGACCAGCTCTGGTAAAGAGCTTAACTGGCCAGATTAAAATTAAAAAATTGTGTCAGTCCATCTGCTAGCTCCAGGGAATTTACTTCCATCACCTTTTCTTGTTTCTTCACTAAAGCAGAATACTGCCTTTGAAAAGAACATTCCCAGGATATCTTGGTTGACTTTTTTTACCTAATGTTTTTTTCAGAGATAATTATATGTGACGTCAAGATATTTTCAAGAAGGACAATGCTCTTGGTTGGTTCAAGGATACATTAAAGACAACAGCTCTTTTGCTAAAAGGGATTTTCTTTTTTTTTTTTCCTTGCCTTTTTTTTTTTTTTTTTTTTTTTTTTTTTCTTTGCCTTCTGGTTTTGGGAATGATTAAAAGCGATCTTCAAATAGTTGCAGGTAATGCAGAAATCTTATTTATATTCTTGTTTTCAAAGTTTACCTATGGCAGTGTGTAGAAATAAACGTACCTCTCTGCTTTAATTATAACAAAGGGAGCTAATACAGAGAAATGTTTGGTCAAATCTGCGCTATGATACCAGTGTAAATATGGAATACTTATAGTGATTTCTAGGAGGTATTACTGTATATTTATGCTGGTTTAAGTGCAGAATGTAGCTACAGGAGGCAAGTTTCTCCCACTTTGAGAGACGTTAATTACTGATAAGTTTTTTACTTGGTACTTTTTTCCTTAATTTTGCATTAAATCTTAAAAAGTGAAGTTCTGTCTCTTGCTTATGGACACTGAAGATGGATCAGTTTGGGTAAAGATGGGGCTTTTGCCTTACTGACGTTTTTTTATGTTCTTTTCTCCCTCTGATGGTGGTCATCCACACTAGAGATGACTGTTAATGTACCATGAAAATAGCCACGTGCTATTGACTTTGAAGTTGCAGAATAAGATAATAATCTGTGGGATGAAAAATGCTGAACACTTATTACTGTTTTTTCTCTGATAAAGGGCTCATTGTGATGATTCTTCAGGCATGTTTTCTGGGGAAAAAGTGAAAGAAGAAAGTTGAATTAACTAATTTCAGATTAACTGACTGATGACTGTGGAGAATAGAAAATTAGGCTGTCAGACTAGAAGCAGATAGACACATTCTCCCCTTAGTTGTAACGTTTCCTCTGGAGTCATGTGGAACAACTAACTTAAGAGGGAATTTAAAAAAACCTGAAAGCTGAGAGCCCTTTTTTTTTTTTTTTTTTTTTTTTTCCTTTTGCAAGGGATATAATTGTTTCTTGTGGAAAGAAAGTATGGAATAAGGGAGTTCCTATTAATTACTTCTTTAATTTCTGGCCCTGAAAGCTTCTAAATACATGCTTATTCACAAATACAGTCCCACTGACTTAAGCCAAATCACAGAAGGGAAGTTAAACATAAAACATTAGCATTCAAAGGGTTAGATCTTTAGGTTGTTTTACCATTTGATGGGATGCTGTAAAGACCTTAAGGTTTTTTATAATAATGCAGTCATACAGACGACAGAAAAAAGCACAGTTAGATCATTCAGAGACCAGAGCAATGGCATTAAGATACATATAATTACATCACTGTCTCATCTGAGAAATTTATGTGTGGTTTTAATTTTACAGCAGAAGGCTATTCAGCTACAGAAGGAGGACAGGTTAAAGGTGGTTCACCAACCCCTCAGCTCAGTAGCTGGCAGTTAGCAAACCCTTCTCTGCCTCCTGAGTTGAAAAAGCTTAATGGCATCGTGAAGGCTGAACAGGTCAACAAGCCTTTGCTGTTACGAAGGAAGCGGTCCATTCTGTTTCCCACTGGAGTTAAGATCTGCCCTGATGAATCTGTTGAGCAGGCTATTGCCAACCATCTGAAATATTTCAGACTCAGAGGTAAGTGAATGTACATCTCATGCGTAATTGACAAAGAATATTTATGAAAAAAAAAAAAAAATTAAGCTTTTAAACATAAGTATTAGCTATAGGAAATAGACTATCACCCAAGAAACTTAGTTTTCTGTGATAATCTTCCTTATGAGAGCTGTTCTGAACTGAAAAAACCGCCTTCTGGCTACACTCATATATCATACAAACTCTCAGTCCCTAAAATGACAGTTAGTGTTTAATAATTACTAATCCTTTCTCATACAAAAAATTGAATGCTAAGAAAAAATAGGTGTTATGTACAGGTTAGCTAAATGGCAGAGCTTACTGTTTTTATTTAGTGTTCTTCAAATTGTAGTAGAATTCAATGAGGGATCTTTCAGAAAAGATTAAAGTCTGAGACATTGGTGTCTCAGCCACGTGACTTAACTATGGCTTGTTGTGCAAAGTGTTGTGTCTTCTGTCTAGAAAGCCAATCTCTGTGTATCAGGCTGTAGTATAATAGAGATGAAGCCTTTCTTTTAAGATGTAGATGTTGGTGTGACAGAGCTTTCTCTGAAAAGCTGAAATATTCCCAGTAAGGGCTTCTTTCATGTGATGAAATATTACAGCTATATGATGTATTTCAAACTTTTCTGTCTGACACCATTGGAATTGGGCATCAAGGTCATGCAGCACTTTCTGGTGTCTCTGTATTGTAGCATTCAATTGATAGTGTCTTAACATTTTTGCACATAATTGGTAAAAATGGGAAAGAGCTGCTGTCACTTAGGGGAGAAGGAAAGGCGTTCAGAGACTCATTTTAATGAGACTATTTGGATTGCCTATAGAAGAAACTCCCACTGGTAACTCAGTTTATTCACTTAAAGCAGTGAAAAACAATTAAAACTGGGAGTTGTTGCTGAGTGTCTACATAAAAGTAAATATGAAAAAGTGTATTTGGAGAACAAAGTGGAATTATATGGCATCAGAGTCTCATTCAAGTATGAATTGTACCCAGCTTGTGAGGGATGTCAATACTGATGGTCATGCAGGCAGTTTGACAGGTGTTGCAAGCTTCTTGTTGATATCCACCCAGTAACACTCAATTGTTCTTTGTTTTCCTCAAAATGAATCCATATTATGTGTTTTAACTGCAGTCACCCCTCAGTTATCTGTGAAGGAGGTACATACGGGTATTAGACTTGGAAGCTGAATTAGCCAGTAAAAGAGAAACAAGATAAGGATTGCAAGGTGGCATGGCTTGCACCATTTCTCTATCCTTTGCCAGTTAACTGGGTAAAACAAAGGCTGCTGGATTTTGACAGCATGGCTCAGGGTTAATACTGCTGCTCTGCCACCTCCAAGATGTAATTACTCTGGTAGCTACCTTTCCTAAACTCTGTCTGCATTTTTTCCGTCATCCACTGTCTTAAACAATTCAGTGTATGCTCATCAGTGAGTATATCTTCTTTTCACAGCAGTAGATCAGGTAGTCTCTATGCCAGAACTGGTTTTGTCAGCCAGATCTTCAAAGAAAGCTGCAAATCTAAAGAGGGCGTTTAAAGATACGGACCAAAGAAGGAAGTAGACTGTATTCTAGTGTGTCATAGCTGATGAGAGACAAAGACTTTGGAAAGATTTTGGAACTTTGGAAAGATTAAAAGGTGCTTGTCAGGAGTGAAGTTCTGTGCATGATTATAATCCCTAGATTTGGTAATCTGGACATAGCACTGAGCTTTCTCATTTTCCCCTTTCTTGGGTCACTTCAAATCTGTTTACTGAAGTGTTAGAAACATTGATGCTATGTTCTGCACATGGATAGAATTGATATGGTGCTGAAATTCTAAATGTTACAAGGTATTCAAATCTTGCTGAATAATGATGAAGGCAAACAGAAGTCATAAAAAGTACCTGGCTAAACAAGCATGCAATAAATATTGTCTTTATTATATGTCAAGGACCTCACGGCAAAACTCCCCACTCTAGTGAGAGCTCAAGACTACTACCCTCCTCTGTTTTTTCAGGTAGGTAGTGACGACAGCACCAGAAGGCCTAAAGCAATGAAGAGAGATTTCAGGTCCTTGGGGAAACTGCTTAAGGGGTCAGGGACATAAATAGTGTTCTCCTCCATCCCTTCAGTTGTGGGGATGGATGAAGATGATTACAGGGGAATTCAACAGATGAATTTGTGGCTCCAGGGCTGGTGTTACCATCAGGTATTCATATTTTTCAATCATGGGTTGTTATACAGGGCACCAGACCTTTTGGCATTAGATGGGATGCCCCTGTCCTAGAGGGGGAAGAGGGTCTTGGGGCAGGACAGAGCTTTAAACTAGATTTGAAGGGGGAAGGGGGCAAAACATTGGCCCATCTGAAGGGCATGTATACCAATGCACACAGCATGGGTAACAAACAGGAGGAGCTTGAAGCCATGATGAAACAGGAAAATTATGATGATGTGGCTATTCCAGAAACATGGAGGGATGTCTCCCATGGCTGGAGTGTGCCAGTTGATGGCTACAAGGTCTTTCGTAGGGACAGACAAGGCAGGAGAGGCGGTGGGGTAGTGCTGTATGTCAGGGACTGTTATGTTTGCTTTGAGTACAAGTGTAGTGAAGACAGGGTGGAGTTAGAATCAGGGAGAAGGCCAACAGGGCAGATGTTGTAGTAGGAGTCTACTATAGGCCACCCACCCAGGACAGAGAGGTGGATGAAATATTTTATAGGCATTTGGGTGAAATCTCACAATCACTTGCCCTTGTTCTTGTGGGTGATTTAACTTCCCAGACATCTGCTGGAAATACAACACAGCAGAGCGGGACCAGTCCTGGAGATTCCTGGAATATGTGGGAGATAACTTCCTGATGCAGCCGGTGAGAGAACCGACCAGAGAAGGTGCCCTGCTGGACCTCCTCTTTGTGAACAGGGAAGAACTGGTGGATGATGTGGCGGTTGGAGGCCGACTAGGGCACAGGGATCATGAAATAATAGAGATCTCTGTTCTTAGAGAGGCCAGGAGAGGGGGAAGCAGAACTGACATCCTGGACTTCCAAAGGGCTGACTTTGTCCTGTCTGGGCACCTGCTTGAAACGATCCCCTGGGAGATGGTCCTGACGGGTACAGGGGTCCAGGAATGCTGGGTGCTCTTAAAGAAGGAAATGTTTAATGGCCCAGGAGCAGGCGGTCCCCAGGTGCTGTAAGAGAGGCCAGTGACAGGGAAGAGCACCCTGGCTGAAGAGGGAGCTTTGGCTGCAACTCAGGGAGAAAAGGAGAGTTTACAGCCTTTGGAAGAAGGGGCTGGCCACTCACAGTGATTACAAAGAGGCTGTGAGGCTGTGCAGGGTGGAAATCAGGAGGGCTAAAGCCCAGCTGGAAATTAATCTGGCCTCAGCAGTCAAGGACAACAAGGAATGTTTCTATAAGTATGTGAGCAGCAAAAGAAAGACCAGAGAGAGTCTCCATCCCCTGCTAGACGCAGGAGGAAACATGGTAACAAGAGATGAGGAGAAGGCTGAGGTGCTTAATGCCTTCTTTGCCTCAGTCTTTAATAGCAAGACTGTACTGAGGAAATCCAGCCTCCACAGCCAGAGGGCAGAGACTGGGAGAATGACCCCCCGTCAATCCAGGAGACAGTCAGTGACCTGCTGCATCACACGGACACACACAAGTCTATGGGACCAGATGGGATACACCTGAGGGTGCTGAAGGAGCTGGCTGGGTGCTCGCCAAGCTGCTTTCCATCATTTACCAGCAGTCCTGGCTGACCGGGGAGGTCCCAACTGATTGGAAATCGGCCAGTGTGACGCCCATCTGTAAGAAGTGTCAGAAAGGGTGATCTGGGAAATTACAGGCCTGTCAGCTTGACTTTGGTGCTCAGGAAGCTGATGGAGCAGTTCATCCTGAGTACCATCACACACCACATGTGGGACAACCAGATGCTCAGGCCCAGTCAGCGTGGGTTTATGAAAGGCAGGTCCTGCCTGACAAACCTGATCTCCTCCTACGACAGGGTGACCTGCTTATTGGATGAGGGAAAGGCTGTGGATGTTGTTTACCTTGACTTTAGCAAGGCCTTTGACACTGTTTCCCACAGCATTCTCCTGCCAAAACTGACTGCTCGAGGTTTGGATGGGCACACGCTTTGCTGGGTAAAAAACTGTCTGGATGGCCGGGCCCAAAGAGTTGTGGTGAACGGAGTTAAATCCAGTTGGTGGCCGGTCACGAGTGGTGTCCCCCAGGGATTCGGTGTTGGGGCCACCCCTGTTTAACATCTTTATTGATGATGTGGACGAGGGGATCGAGTGCACCCTCAGTCAGTTTGCAGATGACACCCAGTTGGGTGGGAGTGTTGATCTGCTCGAGGGTAGGGAGGCTCTGCAGAGAGACCTGGACAGGCTGGAGCCATGGGCTGAGCCCAACTGGGGGAGTTTCCATAAGGGCAAATGCCGGGGGCTGCCCTTGGGCCACAACAACCCCCAGCAGCGCTACAGGCTTGGGGAGGAGTGGCTGGAGAGCTGCCAGTCAGAGAGGGACCTGGGGTGTTGATTGACAGCCGGCTGAACAGGAGCCAGCAGTGTGCCCAGGTGGCCAAGAAGGCCAATGGCATCCTGGCTTGTGTCAGCAATAGCGTGGCCAGCAGGGACAGGGAAGGGATCTGACCCCTGGACTCGGCACTGGTGAGGCCGCCCCTCGATTCCTGTGTTCAGTTTTGGGCCCCTCACTACAAAAAGGACATTGAATGACTCGAGCGTGTCCAGAGAAGGGCAACGGAGCTGGTGCAGGGTCTGGAGCACAGGTCGTACGGGGAGCGGCTGAGGGAACTGGGGGGGTTTAGTCTGGAGAAGAGGAGGCTGAGGGGAGACCTCATCGCCCTCTACAGCTACCTGAAAGGAGGGTGCAGAGAGAGGGGGGTGAGTCTCTTTAACCAAGTAACAGGCAATAGGACAAGAGGGATTGGCTCAAGTTGCGCCAGAGAAGGTTTAGACTGGCTCTTCTGAAGCATTTCTTTCCAGAAGGGGTTGTTGGGC